CATGTCACCAACAGCAAGAGACGTCTCTCCACCTGCTGCAGACAGTGGACATTGGGAGGGCTCTGTCCAGTGCCCGGCTCGGCCCCAGGTATCTGCCCCTGGGCTTGGGATGGACGCCACATCCGCTCCCACCACATCCATCAAGACGACCCTGACATCAGTCAAGCTTTGTGCCTACGAGGGTGAGCTGACGGTCTGCATGACCAACACAGCCAGCCTGGTAGACAAGCAGGGTCCGAGAGCAGAATTCCGTGACACCCCCCGACCCCCACACACACACACCTCCAGTCTCTGCTGCAGCCTGTCTGTGTGGGAAGCCCCCGCCCCCCCACCACACATACACCATTCCCTGCTCTCATGATGAAAGGCGTGCATGGCCGGCTTCACCCGTCAGTCAGCGTCATCCGACGTCGACAGTTTCACACGGATGAATGGGTGGGAGCAGATGGAGCAGGACCGGTGTGGAGACGTTCACATGATCATTACCCTAAATTGCCCTGATTAATCCCGCGCACTGGCACTCGGCGTAATGAGCGATCCTGAAAGGGGCCGGCAAGCGGGCTCTGGAGGCGGCTGACAGGCAGGAAACACTGCTCATTGGCATGCACATCGCTGAGCTGCTGCAAAGAAAGCCCAGTTCTCTCCCGGCCATGTCCCACTCACAGAGGCAGGCCTTTCGCGAGACGGCCAATGCATCTGCTCCACAGTGACTGGGGGCTCAGCCAGGGAATCCACCGCCCTGCCCGGCCTTCTTCAGGGCCATGGGCATGGCTGGGGCTGTGCTGGAGACCCCTGTGTCAGCCCAGCCCTTGAGGTGCGGCCTCACTTTCATGGCCCTCTCCCACACCGGCCCTGGTGGCCTCTCCACAAGGGCCCTTCCTGCTGGCCGAAGGCAGTGGGTGAAGCCCACCAGTCCCACTTCCCAGGAGCTTTTGGTTGTGTTTCTCGCAGGATGGGCTTGTCCATTCTCCGGCCAGCCCACGGCATATTCAAAAGTGGCCACAACCTCCCAGTCTAAGGCGTCTGTTCTCCGGTCTTCCTGACCCATTGCCCAGCTGAGTGAGGCCACGGTACTGAGAGAGTCAAATCCAGAGACACTCATCTATGTATAAGAAAGAGCTTTCTACAAGAGAGTAACTGTTCATCAAGAAAACATGCCAGCCCACTCCAGATCAAGTCCATATGTCTGGTGTTAGCTCGTACATCTGATACTAGTCCAGAAACCTATCTTCAGACTCACACAGTCACATGCAATGATGCAGAATGCAGAAGGATCACAGGTCAGTGGGTGGAAAGTCTTGTGGATCCACTGGCAGTGGAAGCATCACAGGGCTGGCACAGGTCTCCACTGCATGGCTTGTTCAAGTCTCAGCATGGCTCCACATGGCTTGTCAACAGGAAGGTGAAGCAGAGAGAGAGAGAGTGAATGTGGCCCACCTCCAGGGAGAAAGAGAGCAAGTTCCCAGAATCCTCAGGAGAAGGCCACGCCCACAGGAGGCATCATCAGTCTGTGACCCAATTGACAGGCTAGACTCCACCCCTGCACTTATTTATCCAGTTGACATAAGATGATGTAACTGCCACACCAGCCTTCACAT